CCCCAACCCTTCTCTTCCCACCGATGTGGGACAAATAGTTTTGCCCAAATTCAACAGTTTCCATGCATTAATGTTTATGCGGAAAAGAGCCAAAAATACCCCTAACATGTTCAAAAATGCTCTTCGTTTACCTTTTGGTCTAAAAATACCCCTAACGTATTGAAAATGACTCAAAAATGCCCTTTCGTTAACCTTTTGGTCTAAAAATACCCCTAAAATATTGAAAATGGGTCACATATACCCTTAATATTTTATTTTTGGCTCACATATACCCTTGAAACTAACAAAACATGAATGGCNGCCCAATTTCCTTAATTTCTGCCCTCCAGAGAAAGAAGCCCAGCAGCTTCTTTACTCCAATTTCATAATCCCTTTTTGGTCTTCCATTTAAAGTGAAAAAACAGCAGCCAAACCCCTTTTTTTTAAACCCACGTTTTTCTTCTTTTAAAAAACGGGATAGGGCCAAAAATACCCCTAACGTATTGAAAATGGCTCAAAAATGTCTTCAGTTAACCTTTTGGTCTAAAAATACCCCTAGCGTATTGAAAATGGCTCAAAAATGCCCCTACGTTAACCTTTTGGTCTAAAAATACCCCTAACGTATTGAAAATGGCTCACATATACCCTTAATATTTTATTTTTGGCTCACATATACCCTTGAGACTAAAAAACATGAATGGTAAATTTTTGGTTCACCTTCCATCAATATATCATATATTGTTTTATATGTATTTTATACCACATATATAAATTATATATATACATCATAATACATGTAAACAAACAAAATATCCCATACATATTCTTTAAAGTTGTGTATTTTATACTTTATATATATCACTATTATATAATTTATCACATATACTATTAAAATAGAAAATATATAAGAATCACCGGTCGATGTTATAACATATACCCTTAAAACTAACAAAACATGAATGGTAAATTTTTTGGTTCACCTTCCATCAATATATTATATCCATCAATATATAATATTTTTTATATGTATTTTATACCCTCTCCCCCTAACCCTATTGAGCCTTAAAAAACCCCTTATGAGTGGACCCAATTTTCCTACAGCTTGTACTCTTTGAATGCATGATTTCACATCTTACCTTTATACTACTGCAACCTTGCTGATTCTTTCAGCCATGAAACTTATCAAGAATGACTTACGAAATCGATTGAATGATAGGCAGTTGCATAGTGCCTTTTGTTGAAAAAAATTCGGTCCACCCATCCATAAAAAAAAAAAACGTGTTATGTTCTTCTATAAAATTTAAACACATTTANTATATATATATATATATATATGTATATATGTATGTATATGTATGTATAAAACTTTCTGGGAAGAACATAATGTTGACGGGTCATTCACACATTTTTTTAGAAACTTAACCATAATAATAATAGAGAATTAATAAATAAAAAAATCTCATCCTTTAAAAATTTACAAAGACATATGTTACTTATTCAAAGCAATACTGACATCTAATGGAACAAATTGTAATGGAGCGGAACTGCTCCCTTATTTTAACATGTTATAACTTCGACCGATAGTTCTTATATATTTTCTATTATAATAGTATATGTGATAAATTATCTAATAATGATATATATAATTTATAAAATACACAACTTTAAAGAATATGTATGGGATATTTTATTTGTTTACACGTATTATGATGTATATATATAATTTATATATGTGGTATAAAATACATATAAGAAAATATATGGTATTTTGATGGAAGGTGAGCCAAAAATTTACCATCCATGTTTTGTTAGTCTCAATGGTATATGTGAGCCTAGAATAAAACGTTAAGGGTATTTTTGAGCCATTTTCAATACGTTAGGGGTATTTTTAGACCAAAAGGTTAATGAAGGGCATTTTTGAACCATTTTCAATACGTTAGGGGTATTTTTGGCCCTTTTCTGATGTTTATGTATCCATCAATTTAAACCTTCATTAGAAGACAATTCCTTATAACCAACAAGATAGAAAAAGGGTTTAAAAAGTTTAAAAAGAAAGGAAGAACTTTATTATATCTGTTTTATTACATCTTTAATTTGAATTAGTTTTATATGTTTGTTTTATTGCTTAGTTAATAGAAGATACTACATCTGTTCCAGTTTATGGGAACCTATTTTCTTTTTGGTCCATTTCAAAAAGAATGACTTCATTCTGAATTTGGTAACAATTTAGCTTACACTTACAATTCTACCCTTAATGGAAAGCTTTTATAACCACACAAATATTTTGGGCCCTTTTCTTGACCACAAATTTCAAAAGTTCTCATTTTTTTCTTAAACTCCGCACTTAGTCAAACAGGTTCACATAAATTGGAACGAAGGAAGTCACAAAACTATGAGACAAAAAGATACTTCATACAACTAGTGTCAGTTGTATAAGACACAAAATAAAATTTTCCGCAGTTTCTTATGTGGTTGCCCGATACAACATTAGTACAATCAATTATCTGACTATGTCTCCAGTAGTGAATCCAGGAATTTCTCCAATAGTGTTCAAACTTGAAAGAAGTTAAAAAAAATCGACAAAAGGTGTTCAATCTATATTATATACATGTAAAACCTAATATTATGCCTATATATACAATGTAATTTTCCGACACCTTTAAAAGAGTGTAGCTTCGCCCCTGTATGTATCTACATGCCTATAGAATACAGTTGAATGCAGGACTAAGAGGCCATAAGAATCTTTCTCAGTTCATGGCTATCTCCAGTATTGCACCCTGAACTGATCAATGAGGTTATCCAAACCTGATCAGACCTCACTGGTTCATCATCGTCGTTCCTATGCCAACTCCAAAACGCATGAGTTGAATTAACCATCTTAAGTTCACCATGACCAAAGCTCGCTTCTCGGAAGACTGACCATTCTGGCGGGGGTTGTTTGTACCTGTTAAATGTGCCAAGACATGTAAACTTCATGTCATATTTTACACTAATGCTTAATATTTAACTACAGTTATCAACATAGAGAATAGGAANGTGGGGGGGAGGAAACTTCTTTTTTTCCTATGGGGTAGTACTTGATTAAGTTTCCAGAACAGTTTAAGTGAGCCTTCGGCTTCACAAAGCCCGGTATAAGTGCTTGCCCTTTTTTTGTTTGTACTCTCTCCTTTGTTGTCAAAGTCGCTCAACTACTATGGTAAAACCTCTTGAGCTAAATCCAGTCCAAACCGAAAAGAAACAAAGATCATTTAAGAATTCGACTTGTTGGCGCTACAGCCATTGTCATTATATGGTTAATATGCTCAAGATGACGGGAGAAATTACTACAAGGGCTACTTACTTGCGTGCTAAACCTTCTCTGTTTCCTCCATCGCCAATTGTTATGTGGACAGCGCCACACGGATCAGGTTTACCATTGTAAACTCGTTTCTGTTGTCAAATAGATACAATTAGGTAAGGAATCAAGAAGAAAAAGTGTCTCATTTCATCTTCTTGTGCCGAAGGTATATCAGATACAGCCTCTCTACCCCAGGGTAGGGGTAAGGTCTGCGTACACACTACCCTCCCCAGACCCCACTTGTGGGATTATACTGGGTTGTTGTTGTTGAATCAAGTAGAAAAAGCAAAAGCAATGAAGGCATACCGTGCGCTCATAAGCATGAACATGCCCAGTGATTACTATATCTGCGCCAGCAGCATACAGCAAAGGCTCCATAGCTGCCATCATGTCATCACCTTCACATTGATGGGCTTTATTACTATTATACCATGGCACATGGAATAACACAACTAACCACGGTGTTCTTTTACGATTCACCTTTAGAAGATCAACCTGCAGCTCAAGGTCCATAATTGACTAAATTAGATAGTAGGTCATTGTGATTTTCAAAGAAGTATGGAATCTGAAGAGATTCTTGGTTCTCTAATCTTTCCTTCAACAATAATATACTAACAATGCTGAGAGCTTAGATAAGAGGATGTCTTCTAATTATATGATATGAAATACAAATAGAAGTAGTCTTTCTGTACCCAAAGCTGTAGGTTCAGGAAGATTATAAGCTACTCTAGATCTCAACCCACTCCCCAACCAAACTGGATTCTTGCCTGCTCACCACCTCGGCATAATCAACATGTTGGCTTTTTATCCTGAAAGTACAGATTCTAAGTCCGACTGCTTCAAAAACTACATGCCTCGGCTCATTCTCTCCTCACTACAGATACTAGGTCCGTTTTTCATGTAAGTTTTAAAATCTCTTAATATAACATCGGACAAAGATATCTATAAAATCTGGAAGTATAAGCAACAAAATTATTTTTAACCTTCATATGTTGGAACTTCCAAAAGATCGGAAATTCCTCAAATATCATAAGTGAAACTGTGAAACAAAAGCAAATTAATGACTTTCATTCCTGATCATAAATTTCTTCAAACATAGAGCATTGTTCATTTTACTAACCTTCAGCCAGCTATACTGATCAGAGTATTCATCATAAGCAGTATATGAACCGAGCATAATGATATGAACCCCAGCAACATCAAACGAATAGTAGAGATTTGAAGTGGATCCACTTTCCGCAAATGGCATCTTCCACCTTGAGTTATACGAGACAAACCCATCTTCTAGAAATATTATGCTTTCTTTTTCGTGATTCCCTTCTGTCACCATCCATGGCCTAGCACTAGCGAGCGGCTGAACGAGTTGACCAAATGTGTCCCACCTATATTGTAAATAATCAGCATAAGAAAGATCACCAGGGAGCAAATGAACATCATATTTGCATTGGTCAATGTGGTCCAAAGTTGACTTAGTCCATCCAGTTTGGCCTAAATCACCGGCCACAGCAAAAGTAACTGGAAATTTAGAGGGTGGAGTTTTCAGCTGGAACTCAGGACCTTCTCCTCCACATCTATAGAAGTACGTGGTATTTTCTTGCAATGGTCCAATGACAGTGTGATGTATCTTCCCCGAACTATATAATAGATAACTATACTTGGTACTTTCTCCTTTAGCTGTAGCACTGTATTTTCCAGGCGATGTTCCATATTCAACAATAGAAGGACAAGATGCATCAGTGGTGACCCATGTGACCCGAATGTGTTTGTCCCCAGCTAAGGAGATGTGAACCTGCAACGAGAGAATCAATTCCGTTGATGAAGTCCACACGGCTCAAACCGTGAACCCAAATGCAAAATAATCACTTTACACGCTAAAGTCAACAGGTCTTTGAAAACATAAAATAACATTAATAACAAATTTAGACAAACATAAATGAAACAAAAAATATATAGTTCTAGGGGCTTACAAGCTTTAGTGATGTCATTCAAATGAACCTCGGGCATACCACGGCTAACTTAATTATGCTTGTCGTACAAAGAAACACATAAAATCTATACTAGTAACTGGTAATGTACCTTTCTGTGAAGAAAGAAATATTGACTCCAGGTCAATATTCAGTAACTTAAGGAACCGAAAGATGGTCTATATAAGCAGACTCAAACTGATCATAGAGGCATAACATAGGATTCCGTAAGGGCCTTAACAAATCAAAACCAAAAATGATCATTCAACTTTTATTTGGGATAACAGTGATATCCGCACCCGCTTTGCAGACAGACTTGCTACCTCTCACCTATAGGTACCAATAACTCTGTCCACCAAGTCTTGGACAAATGCAAAAAATCACCCACATTGTTTTTGTTGCTCTGCTTAGGATTTAATCCCTGATATCCCTTCAGCTTCATTAATCACTAGGTGCTAAAAGCCAAATTATTTTAACAAGGAAAAGGTCCAAATTTGCTCTACCTCTCAACTTTCGACTTTGGTTTAAAATAACCTTAAGATTGAAGTTCCGTTAGGGGTCAAGGACAAAAACAAAACCCTTTCATAAAAGCAGGGCAAGATTAGATCAGAAGTCTAAGGGGTCGTTTGCTTTGAAGACAAGTTATGCTAGGATTAGTTATAGGGAGATTAGTTTTGCTGAGATTAATTATCATGGTATTATTTCTTATTGACTGTTTGATATGTTGTATTAATCCTCAGATTGTCAATTTTACTACTTTATCCCAGATAACTTATCCTGACATTATTATTAATTTCGCCCTCTGGCAAGTATAAGTTATGCCGGTACTATTTTTAATCCCGAGATTAGTAACCAAATAAAGGATAAGAAGGTACTAAATTTTTATCCGAGGATTATTTTTGCTTATCCATCGTACCAAACACCCCCTAACAGAGCTCACAGTAGCTCAATTTCGTACAGTGACAAATTCGTCCATTTTCTCTTCAAAAGGACAAAATTTTACAACAGGCAATAAGAAGTTTCATTCTTTCTTTTCACAACACTAAGATGGAACCAAATCCAGTTAACAAAGAAAGTGTAATCCCATAAGTTAGTTAAAGCTACCAATTAGAGCAAAACCGATTCATATATCCGACCCGAATAGTAACCTTCCGGTTTTAACCCGATTCATTTATAAAAAAACAAAAAAACTAGAGCTAAAATCAGAGTAAAAACAAAAGAAATGAACTTTAAATTCAAAATAATAGTTACCTGCTGAGGTTGTGAGGAAGGCCTAGAATTCCATAGCAGATGAAAGGTTTTACGAGGCGGAGGACGAACATATTCACCTGCTGCAATTACTGTTCCATCGATGAACAAAGTAGCCATCAAACAGAGTAATACTACTAATATTTTCATCTTTGATCCAAGAATTTTTGTTTACTGACAAAAACTGTATGTACTGAAATTTGGAATCTCCCTTATTTATCACTTCCCTCTTTATCCTTTTCTTTAGCCAATTAATATATATTTTCTCTTCTCAATAGAATAATGTTCCTTCAGTACAAAGATAAACATGGGCGGAACCAGCCATCCGCTACGGTTTCGGTCGAATAAACTAATTTTGATTCAAATTATGTATTTGTCTTATAAAATTTATTAATTATATAATAATTATTAATTTAGAATCTAATTTAAAAAAGTTATAATTCCGAATTTCTAATCTTTAAATTCTGGCTCCGCTTATGGATAAAATAATTTTTTATGCATAATATTTGAGGTTAGGCAAGAATCTGACTAGTCAATGAGTTGGGTGTATGTGGTTAAAATGTGTACTTTAAGTTTTATGTTTTTCTGTGTCATTTAGCTCTGATTGAGATTTTTATGCCAAAAGAAAATATAGAAAACTAATAACACTATTTATTGTATTTCTTGTTGTTTTGTACATTATTGGCCTAATATGAAATAAAGTCCCGTTTGGCCACACAAAAAGATTCCTTTTTCCGATTTTTATTTTATTTTTTTCGAAATTAATATTTGGCGTTGAAATTTTTTATTTTCATTTTGAAGATAAATTTCGGAATTTTTTGAAAATTTGAAAAATTCTGAAAAATTATTTCTTAAAATTTTTACTTGAGATCACTCACAAAAATTCAAAAATAACCTAAATTTATATTCATGTCTAAACACAACTCTAATTTTCATTTAAAATTTTATTTTTTCACTTTTTCTGAAATTTTATAATTTTTATGTTGAAACGCCCACTAACTAGAGAAACATGATTAGTGAGTATTCATGTGACCGATCCCATACTTATCACTTTATGGGTTCAGATTCTAAATTCTACCACATTTCATCTAATTAATATGTTCAAAATTTATTATTTTAATAAGTTTTCTAGTATATATAAAAGGTCTGAACTGAAATTATGGGTTCTGGTGAACCCATAGATTATATTCTAAATATAGAAATTATGAGTTTGAGCAGTGAAAATAAATTCGTTTTAATAAAGAGTACTTTCCTCTTAAATTAGCATCGTACCGCCTTTTCTAGATTAGTGGGTCAGTAGGTTCCAAATATGAAAAATGATAAAGTGATGAGCTAGTGAAAAACAAATTTGTAGAAGACAAACTCCTTAGATATGATTTATCGACTAAAAGTTGGATAAAGTAATATTATCACTTTTAGTCTCCGTCAAAAATTATTTACGTCTAATAATCAAAAAAGTGTATAATTTTTGTATATGACATGATATATAAATATATATATATATACAAAATATATATAAATTTTAAATATTTTTCGATTATTATTTTTACAACAACTATATAATGTCATTTATCCTGGGATATAAATGGATGACCAACAGAGGGCTCACAAGTTTGTTGATTCCAAGCTGAATATGACTTTTTTCTTCACAAACTCTAAAGTCAATTCACCATTTTGCTAGAATTGCTACTTGTGGTTAGGGGTGTACATAGGTTGGGTTGGTTCAGATTTTATAATTATCAAATCAAATCAATTGTGTCGGGTTATTAAATTTAAAGACCAACCCAAACCAATAAAACTCGGGTTTTTAACTCTCGGTTTTTATCGTATTTTCTCGGATTTTCGGGTTATTCGAATTTGGGGGGGGGGGGGGGGGGGTTACGGTAAAATTTTCGTAGAACAAAAAATATAAATTATGCTTAAAATATTTCTTTAATCCTAGTAAGATACAACTATATAAAATATTTTCCAAAAAAATAATACGAAATATGAGATGTGTCATGGCATTATCCTAAAATATTCTACAATATAGACAATAAAATTATGTAATATGAATATTGCTAATTAAAAAGTCATAATAAAAATAAGTATAATCTAAAGTACTAGGTCATAATAAAATAAGTAGACTAATAAGGGAGTATTAATTACATGACTAAACGTTAAAGAAAAAATAAAAATAGGTTATGCATTTTTATCTAAATTATTGCAAGACAAAAAAAAATATTCAATACATTCTCGTTCATAGTATTGAGTTGAATGTCTTTTGTTAGCATTAGTATTGATTTGATTTTGGTTTTGGCTTTTGTTAGCATATTTAATTTACGAATATTAATGGCTATAAAACTTATTGGAACATTCAAAAGTTCTAAGTCCAACCTTGAAATAATATCTTAAAAGATAAAATTATGAAATTTTTTAAGAAATATTTATAAATTATATCACAATAAGTATATTTATATATTAAATATATCTAAAATTTCTATATATGTAATGTCGGGTTGGTTTGGTTTCGGTTTGACTTTCTTTAGTTAAAACCAAACCAAACCAATTATTGTCGAGTTTTTTTTCCAACACCAAACCAAATCAAATCAAACCATAGTCGGTTTTTTTCTCGATTTGACTCGGATTATCGGGTTGGTACGATTTGTCGGTTTACTTTGTACACCCCTACTTGTGGTCTTGTGGATAATTGATTAAGGGGTGGATGAAAAGAATTCCCTTGTCTTGCAGAAACCATCAGCAAGAACAACCATCATTTGTCGACGCCAAATCGTATCAACTTACTTGGGTGAGAATATGTATTACTTAACCATAATTAAATAAGATAAGTCTCTGCACAAAACATATATCATAATCAATTAGTTTGATACAAACACACGCAGTGACGAAGACAGAAAAATCAATAAGGGTGTTCAAATTCAAAGGTGTTCAAAATCTATTTTTAATCAATAAAAAGTAATATTTTACCTATATAGTAGTATAATTATTCGACAAAGAGTGTTCAATTGACTACCCTCGGGCCAACATAATTTCGCCCCTGAACACACGGTGTGACTAAATTTTTCCCAATTGTTTATTTACCGAGATATCTCATGCTTATGGGACATCCTTTTTTTTTTTTTAGTTTTCTAAACCAAGATTTGAAGAATAGGAAGGAGTAGAACTTGTTAATGACCCCAATTTTGAGTCAAATCATAAGAGCCTCTATCAATGTTGCACATCTTTTTCTCTAATGGTTGGTTTTACACCTTTTTTATGTTTTCCTTCTTTAACACAGTCCCTACCAGGGATGGCCGTGCGGGCAGTTCAAATTACATATGAAAATTTCAGTTTGGATTTTCGGTTACAGGTTGAAGAAATGACAAGGCACTCTGCAACGACTAAATAGGATATAGTAGGGCCAGCATATCACTAAGTTTTTTCTTCACAATAGTGTAGCACAATCACATGTAAAATTCATGGCCGCTCAGCTACAGTACGTTCTTAAATAGCGTCTATTCTCAGCTCGGGGAAGTTGGAGCTAAAAGAAGAAGAACAAAAGCTCCCGAACTAATAGCTAGCTATCCGCTTATTAAATCTAACAAATTTAGCTAGGAAGTCAGAAGACTTTCTCCATTCGAGGTTTAATCAGAAGTTGAATGCAACAATGAAGGGCGCAATCATAATGCTGCTATGCATTCGACTTCAATCCTTGCATCCATTGGCAGTGCTGCCACCTGATAAGTTGCACGAGCTGGTGCAGGAGATTGAAAATCTGCGAGATAGCCAAATTTAGATTTCCATCATCTCACATTGCGTTGAGTACATGAAGCAGCATGCTAAAGAAGACATTCTTTATAAAGTGGCTAGTTCTAGTATAAAGTGGACAAAGATTTAACACTGAATTTCTTTATCTGACATGCAAAACCGGCTATGACTATTTTCCACTATTGAGCTTTGGTATAGTTTTTCTCACAAATTAGCAATTCCAATCATCAGTGACAACAGAAGTGACCATACTCATCTTACTATGTGCATTTTTCATCTGAGAGTTTAGAACATTATATGGTCACTTTTCCTTTTTTAAACACATCTTCGAGATTCCTAACAGTCTAATTACTAACAGGGGACTAGCACAAACAGAAAGTTTATACAAGGAGCATTCAAATGCAGAATACAATGTCACAATTGTTTTTACTACGCCGTCAGAGTTCAAAGTACAGGTGTCCGATTATAGGCACCCACAATTTCTACCAGCAAATAGAAACTGGTTTAAGTTCATCCTAATCACCTCCTTTCAGGTCTCGACGAATTTTCATTATGGAAGAGCATACTGTAAGACTTGTAATTGTTTTTGGCAGAAAATAAAGTTGGATCAGTCCAAAAGTTTATGCACAATCTCTTAGACATCCCTAACAGAATTGGCAAAAGAAAAGTAGGCAGGGCAAGAAACGAGCCTTTTGCAACCAACTAAGAAGTATCAAATGTAGTACATCTAGCTTTATATTTCTGCTTGACTACTGTTTAGACCACAGACCTTCTTCTTTTTTTTTAAATTCAGTGTTCAAGTTTTCAAGATGATCTTGCTTGTGAAAAACCATGGGAAGAATCTCATTCATAAACACTACACAAAAATCAAAACTAGTTTTCTCAGTATCATGACTCACATTTAGCATAAATCTCATTCACTGTCTTGAAGTCCTTCAGATCAGCTAACCTGTAGAGATAGAATTGTTCAAAATCGATAATCAAGACTATAATGAGAGCACAAATTTAGGGGGTCAGGAGAAGAAATAACAAAAGATCATACAGGATCGTTGTCTTAACAACTGCAGAGTAGCTAACGCCACTTGCTTTAAGTATCTCCCCCATATTCTTGAGAACCTGGAAATCAATATTAAGCTCAGATATCTTAGAGTCAGTGTTTTGAATCTGAAACAATTTAATATCAATAACCCTAATTATAATCATGACATATGGATGCATAACAAAATGCAAAGATGACCGAGTACTAAAATACCTGCTCTGTTTGATCCTCCACACTGTCTGAGACAAATTTGCCAGTCTGCATTCAGTTTGAAGTTAGTTAAACGTTGCATAAAGCAAAGGCACGTGATGGAAATATTACATGGATAGTTTCAAGCTTTTGATAAGAGTAAGTATTTGCAAGAACTGATTCGATAATATCACGAACCTCTGGAACAAGACCCAGAACCCCAGAGACGAAAACAAAATTATTAGCTTTGATGGCTTGAGAGTATGGCCCCAGTGCTGCTGGAGCCTTATCAGTGTGAACAGCCTCCTTTATACCT